TCGTGCTTCATCTTACATAAGAACTTGTTCCTCTCGTTAGTCTTTTGGGACTTTAAGCAAAACTTGACATTGATAAAATTAAAGACATTTATCTTCAAACGCTCACACTTTCTTTATAGCTGCTGCAAATACCTCCTTTTATTCAGATGTATTTTGTGTATTCCAGCACTAATCCGACCAGCGTTCACTTGCAGACCTCCTGTGCCCTCAAACGTTGGACGTCTTCTTGACTCCTCACCTGGAGGGTTTCCACCTGTTGTCCTGCTGTAGTCGGGCTGCTTTGATTCTGAGAAAGCAGCGGCGATCGGACCGGGTGGCGGCGGGAAGAGACGTCCAGAAGTGAACCTGTCAGACGCAGTTAGCCGAGTGTAGAGGAGCGCAGTGGAAGTCCAACAGTTCGCTGTCAGATCCTATTCGTCTGCGCGTTTAGACGGAAGGAGCAGGGGGCAAAATCAATGCCGAGACGTAATGTGATTGCTCAGTTTTCTGAACTGGAGTTGTTTTCCTGCCTCAGTGCAGCCGCTTGTCAAGGCTCGGAAATGTGCGCAATGAAAAAACAGGTTTGATTAAAGCGGTGCATGAAGTTTTGAGGTAAATCTGCAGTTTAATTCTCATGTAGAGTTTCACATATGAGGAATCTGACTTGGTGCTTCAGTGCAAAGACAAACATGTAGATTAAAAACATGCTGCAGGTCAGTAGACAGTCTATTAGCAGTTTATTAGAAGTCCTAAAAAGTAATAGAAATACTTAAAATGTGCAGATTTATCACCTGAGGATGTGCAGGGTTGCATAGTTTGTGATATAAACAACTTGAAATGTGCAAAAGGAGAAAAGCTGTACGTTAATGTCACGCCTAGATTTAGACCGAAAGAGCAAAATCAGTTGTTGACTTGTTGTGAAGTCTTTGAAATCTGTGAAATCTTCAGTTTGTGTTTGTTCGAGGTCAGTGTGCTGCAGTTACAGTGGAAGCACAGCAGCACCGCCAGTGTTTATTACATCACTTGAAATAAGCTGAAATGTGATATTTTTCATTTTTATGCACTGTTTCCTACAGAACGGAGCATTAAATGTATTCGGTGCATAAAATTGAGCACATAGTTTAAATGTTTTGTAGGTCATTTATCTTTAGTTCGCTCTTAAAGTCTAGATCTGCAACAAGTCGTCCATCTGGGACACAAACAGGATTTAGTACCTTTCAAGGTCCCACATGGCGATCATCCATTTTTATTGTGTTTTGTGGTTGTTATAAACGTGGAGGTGCAACATACAAGCTGTTGAGATATAAAAACCATTTATAGCTGCCGTTCCTCTGCGGCTAGTTAGCCTCCCAGCTTTACAAGACGGTAAGAATTGGATTAGGTGCTAACTAGCAGCTAGCTAACCAACAGTCGACGGTGTGTTCTTCATCTCAAAACGTCCGTAAAACAGGATTGATTTGTTGAAAAGCAGCTCAATGTGGGACCTTTAATTAAAACTAGTGACGCTCTGTGGCGGCTGCGCTAGCGGTGGTTCGAGCTAAATGCTAGCATGCAACAGTGCTAATGTGACATTTAGCAGGTTGCCTCATTTGTAGCGTGTTAGCATGCTAACATTTGCTAATTAGACACAAATGACAACAGAAGCAGGTATTAAGATGTAAAACAGAACACTGGAGTTTAAGCTTTGACTGATGATTGTTCTGGATGGCGTCACCAAAGTTTTTACCGTTTATTTATCGGGGGACATGAATATCTGTTGGTGTTAAATATATTTCCTTTTGGGCCAAAGTGGTCGACCAACCCAAGGCCAGATTGACCTGCCAGGACTTCCCAGGTGACAAAATGTGCTGTTTTAACACACATCCCTCATTCTGACTGCAGTTTTTTTTGTGGTAAAATACTCCAAAATCATAAAAACATCAGTTATTTTACCAAAAATCAGATTACAGTGAGTTAGCCTTTAGCCTTCAGGGACCCAGTTTACTGGCTGTCCTGCCACCCTGAGTTCCACATGGATAAAAACCCGCTTTTAATTTAAAATACTGGATTTAGTGTCTCTTAAATTAAGAATTCAGTTGAATTGAGAGTCTTATGTCCAAACTGTGTACCAGAGGGCTTTTTTAAATGTTAATTTTAATCCCTAAACAGAGTGAAGTCGAGGATAATTTATCGTTTCCGTGCCTTTTAATACTTTAACGGTTGTTATATTTAAATAGCCACATTACGCGTCATTAGGCTGCAGAACATGTTGTTTTTATGTTGCTGGCACAGACTTTATTTTACAACTTTGGTGCTGATCTCAGTTAATTTAGGTCAAACCTGCCCGAGGCTTTGTTTTAATCACTCGATGACGTTACGGGAGCTCGACCACACGGTTCACAGCTGATCTGCCTCCTCCGTCCTCTCTCAGCTCAGTGTGGATCTGACTCCAGGAAAGATCCGCTGCAACAGGAAGGGAACCGTCCTGAGCCGGGCCGAGGAGCGAGTGTCGACCCGGGACGGAGAGAGAAGCCTGTACCAGTACTTCAGCTCCGTCCAGGGCCTGGGGGGCTTCCAGGACCACTACGACTGGTACGAACAGCACGAGCACCCCAGAATAATGTGCAGCAATTCAGTTTTCATGTGTAATACTCCAACTTAATGTGAAATAATTAATCTTTCATGTGCAATATTTCATTTTTTATGTCCAACATTATATTCTTTATGTGCAGTATTGTATCTTTCATGTCCAATATTTCACTTTTCTGGTGCAATATTCTAGTTTTATGCGCCATATTTCATTTTTCACATCCAATATTCCACTTTTCATTTGCACGATTCTGCTTTCTTGTGCCATAATTCATCATCACGTCTAGTTACTTTACTACTCTAGTATGATTGCCAGCAGTACTTCCAGTCTCATTCTAACTTGTTTTTATTTCTAGTCATGTATCATACTTATATCTTACTGCTTTTCTACTTGGCCCTGCATTTTATAGTGTTGTGTAATTTAGTTTTCTGAGCAATTTCTGGCAAAGTTTTCTTTCAGTTGCACCATCTGGACACCTGTGAGATAATTCTAGAGGCGCCTGATAAAACGGATCATGTGATGCTGTAAAATGAAAAGTTTATTGTTTTAATGTAATGTTATTACTCATGTGGGTTTTGTGGTCTCTCTCTCTGATTTTTTTATTTTTTTTAAATGACGCCGTCCAGGTGGGTCACCAACACCTTCTCCATCCGCGGGGGGAAGCCGCTGTGGGTCGACCCGTTTGACCACCACGTTCAGCACATCTTCATCGACGACAACATACGGCAGAACGACGAAGACACCATCGTCAATCCAAAGGTACTTTTAAAAAGGAAGTACTTTTTATTCTTGGGGCAGTTCTGAAACCTTCTACTTCCTGTTTTACAGCGACTAACGCTTTCTTTTCCGCGTTGTTGTATCGGACGAGAAACCAATTCTTCAGCTCAGAAACGTCACCAGTGACCCGAAACTGAGATTTTGATTTTGGAATGACGAGTTAAAGTCAGAACATGAAGCTCCTTCATGGGTGTTTTAGAGTTCTGTGTTAGTCAAGTAACTGTTTAACAGCTTGAAGAGGACAAATTTGGATTCATTTGACTTCTCATCTTTGTGTAGAACACAGTTATGTTCAGTAAACACGTTATGTCGACACAATTAGCATCCGTTCAAGTGTAAATGTGGTTCAGATGCTCAGATATGTGCAGACGGAACACAGAGGAACGTCTTGAAAGTCAAGCATCGGTTGGTTTCTCGTCCGTAAATTCGTATATTTTTCGGATTATGCCCCCTGGTGTTCAAGCTTGGAAGTGCATGTCATTACAGATGGATGGAAAGTTGCCATATAAGAGAGGCTAATCAAAGGATGTTAGCTTCTTCCATTTAATTTTATGTTCATGAAGCACTATCGCCACTGAAACAGGAATAACAACACATGGAGATAAATGACTTAGGAGGTTTTTCTGCCACATGTGGAGCCGGTTTAGTGAAATATTTTATTGCGAACCATGACAGCATGTTACACAGCTAGCATGTGTTAAACCAGCTACAGTAGTTCATTTTGTATTTACATGATTTGACTGTGAACACATTGAAACAGCTCAGCAGCCTGTTAGCTAGTTAGTTTTCCTGACTTTACGCTTTCTCCATAATCCAGCGCAAAAGTGAACTAAAAGTTTAATTTTACAACCTTGTTCTGTTGTTTCTTTGTTTAGTTTTTAGTTAAATATCCAATTTCTTGTTATTTTTTAACACCTAATATTTATTGAGCTTCTCCAGTTTTGTTTCATATCAGCCTGCAAGTCAGATTTTTCGACGTACTTGAGGCAAATTCTGACGGAGGAGCTTCACAAACACATCACGGAGCTTCTCGTAGGAGTGAAGTTCTGGTTCAGAGCTGCAACACAAGCCTCCGTTTTTACTAAACTGGAGCATTACATACCACAAATGAGCCATTCAGCAACACGTTTACTTTGGTATAAGGTCTCCAGAAAGTTTGTATTTTGTGAATGCAGTGTGTGATTTCTAAGCTGGATTATTTGTTCTGTTTTTGTGTCTGCACATGACTGCTTGTGTGGTTGCTGCAGCGACTTTCACACACATCTACCACACGCTTATTTGTTTCGGTTCTGCTTTCGTCCGGACCGCTGAACTCTGACGTCGGCTCGGTTTTGTTCAAATCAGCCTCACGTTGTTCCGTCAGCTGCTTGAATCGTGTTTTGCGTCGTCTGTCGGCTGATTCTCTTTGTTTCACGCTGCGTTCAGCTCAAAGTTAAATTTCACAACCGCTTTCTGTTGTTTAGTTTTTGCTTATATTTTCACACGTCGTCTGTATTTTGCTTTTCGGGGCTTTTTTCTATCAAGTCCAAGAACAGAATTTAATATCGTAGCTACAGCGGCTGAGTCACGTCACTCTGCGGAGGTCAGTCAGCTTCTTCGTTAGAAGAATCTGATCCTCAAACTGCAGCTTCAGCAATGACAAAAGCTCAGTACCTTGTTTAATCACCACCGAGTCAACGCTTCAGAGACGCTGCAGGAAAACACTGATTACCGTAATTTCCGGACTGTTGAGCGCACCTGAACATAAGCCGCAGCCATGAACTTTAGAAAGAGAACAGAGATATGAGATATTTACACAGAAAGAATTTTAAACTTTTAATTAAATACGTACCGGTAATGTACACAAATACCGTAAATGCTTTTTTCCGAACAGCGCCTGGAACACGGCTGGTTAAGAAAATACAGCAGCTACCAGGAAAAGTCATTGATCGCTATCTTCATCTTCCTCCTGCACTAAAACCACTAAAGACGTCTCCTTCAGCCTCAGAATCACTTCGTCACTTCCTCAGTCTCTCTTTCGTCGTCACTCTCAACGTCACTTTAGTCTCGAGGCAAATTCGTAAAACTCGTAAGAATCCATAAATTAGCCGCGTCACTGTTTAAGCTGCAGCGTTCAAAGCGTGTGACGAAGTAGCGCCTTATAGTCCAGAACTTTATGCAGAACCGAGAAACAACACTGTGCAGTTATAGGAAAGTTACAGAAACTGGAGGAACTCTGTCAACAGATGGATTATTAGTCTGCATTTACATACCATCATCGTCATTCTGCAGCGTCTGAAGCAGCTGATGGGTTTGTTCTGCTCGCTGGAACACAAGCAGCCATAAATCAACATAATGAGCCTTATAGCTAATTACATGTGTTTATGTATTTATGTACATGGACGGGGATGCAGATCAGAAATGACTCCTGTGGGGAAACGGCAATCTGCCTGCAACGTGTTAACGACTCAACCTGCAGATATTTATAATGTTGATGCTGCTTTCTGCAGAACACTAAAGAGCAGCATCGGTGCTAAACACTCAGTACCAAGCGTTTCTTTCATATGTTTTTTTTCCTTAATGTGAATATGCTAACGTTGGAACGACAGAATCATATCAATGCAACTCTAATTAAAGCCACAAGCGGCGATGGACGGGTCCTCGCCGTACGCTTGTCGGCCTTCGCACACGTTGGGTTGTGGCGCAAACGTCCTCCGGGCGGAACTCTGATTCAGCATGTCGAGTTTGGGGCAGATCGGAGCAAGTGCGGCCTAGTTACGAGCCACTTCCTGTTTAGTGGCGAGCCGCGGCGGCGTGCGTGTTGGCCGTGGTGGAAACACGCTCTGGCTGAGACTCGGAGCACGCGTGTAAAATTTCAGGCCGATTGGAGCACAGACACAGCACGTCTCGTATTCTGGTGTTTTATGGCGTTGTGGCCAAATTCCGGGTGGCGCCATTTCCACGCCGTCACACTTTTGCAGATCGTTTTACTAACATTGAATCACCACCTCCTGTAGTTTGTGCTCAGCAAATTTGAGGTGTGTACGACCTTCCCAGTAGGAGGAGATAGAAAATTGAAATGTATTTGTTTTATTTTGATGCCCTTTTAGAACTATGACTGTAATTTGCTGCGGCTGAGCTGCTGGTTAAATGTGCTTTATAAACTCTAGCTGCTGTTTTCTAAAGTTAAAGTTACATGAGTTGTTTCATGTTTTCCAGCAGGTTTCCAAGCTTCAAGTGAGTTTTCGCTTAAAGCATGAGGTCTAAGAAGTAATTACTGAATGAAATTTTTGAAATGAATGAATTATCTGTGTTATGCAATAGACACTTGAATTGAATCACTAGGTTGATTTCATAAGTTTTAACCTGTATGACCAGAAATGCTCATAGCTTAGAGGTGAGTTTCTGTTGACCTTATTAAGAGGTCAGGTTTTTGAGTCGGAGCGTTCTTCTGATGAGCTGAGAGTTGAAAGTAGCTTTGGCTGTAGTAAAAGTTGCTAAATGACTATCGCCTAATTTGCATAACTGACCATTTGCATGTAATTGTAATGGCCACTGTAGGAGAGAGAAATAACTTTATGGAAGAGACAAAAAGTGAGTAAGAAGCACCTGTAAATAGGGGTAGAACTACACATGAACTTCCTTCTGTTGATTCTTGTTTTTTATTTTGCCATTGAAATAAGCATCACTTCTCAAAATAAACAAAGACTAATGCTTTGTCTAGACCCACATTAAATAAATCAATTTTGTCCTGAATTGTTAAATGTTATAATATCAGATTTAATCAAAAGACTGTGATGTGTGTGTGTGTGTGTGTGTGTGTGTGTGTGTGTATGATGTGTGTGATGTGATGTGTGTGTGTGATGTGTGTGTGTGTATGTGTATGATGTGTGTGTGTGTGTGTGTGTGTGTATGATGTGTGTGTGTGTGTGTGTGTATGTGTATGATGTGTGTGATGTGTGTGTGTGTGTGTGTGTGGTGGAATTACAGGCTTAACGTCCAGCCCTCCTCATTTATCCGGGCTGGGGACCGGCAAAGTGACCCAAAGAGGCACTCTGGCAGAGTTACTGACGTTTTTTGTTTGTTTTTTTGTTTTTCTTTTAAAGTTTTTTTTTTTTTTTTTTTTGGTCAATGTTTTGTCAAATGTTTCTTTTTTTATTTCAATATTTGTTTTCATGCAAATACAGCAGAACCCCAGAAAGCTGAGCTACATGACGGTCTTCCTCTGCACTCTGGTTCCTCCCTTTTCTCTCCTGCGCTGTTCAGAATCAGAAAGCATTCATTGACAAGCAGGTTTTCACAGGCACAGAATGTGACTTCTAGTTTTAGTAAAAAGATAGAAAAGTTGTATGTGTTCAGTGTGACAAGATGAACAAGAAGCAGTGTTATGAGTCAAACAGCACGAGAGAAAAAAGTATACCGAGTGTAAACGAGAACTTGAAAATGTATTTCAGGTCTTCTTGGACCCGGGCGGCGCCGAGACCCGACCGGCCTGCACCTCGGAGCTGTACGACCTCACGCTGGTCCAGACCGACCTCCTCCGAGCCATTTCCGACCCGAGCTACTTCACCCGGAGCGTCCACGTCTGTCTGAAGAACTACGAGAGGAACCTCCAGCAGGGGGCGGCCTAGAGCTCGACTCCACTTCCTGTTTGGCGACCATCCAGATATGCAGACGCTGAAGACCGTAGGTAGGACTGAGTTAGGACGCGAATGGAGGACGCTTTAGAGGTTTATAAAGACTAAATATTCTTAAAAAGGTTAGAAGGACTGTCATTGGTCTGAAACCACTTGATCTTCTCCAATGAAAGGACGCTGGCTCCCACAGAGAAGCTCTTTGCAGTCGGATCAACCTCCACACTCTGAGTTTCTGACACGATGAAGTGGTTCTCAGACGGAGCCCGTGTGACCAATCACTCGACGGGTTAATTGCTGTAACTCTCAGAGATTTGCGGCGTAATTGGGGTCAGATGCGACTGAAGACCTCTCGAGCGACGTTCGGCTCCTTCTTTTGTTTTGCGCGACGTTTTCCCCGCGCTGCTGCAGGATTTATTGTTTACATCCACTCAGAACCCAGAGCGGCGACACTTGAATGTTTCCAGACGACTGAGCGCGCTGAGCTTTAAGTGCAATCTAATGCGACTTCCTCGCCAGAAAACGACACGAGAATTAGGTTTGAAACAATGCAGTTTATCTCCTGATGCGATCAAAACACAATAATCCAGCGCGAGCGTGTCGGAGATGTTTGATTACACAAACCTTCTCATCGTTAGGAGTTTATTTTCTGTGGGTTTAATTATTGGAAAGCACTCTGGAGTGGAATATTTAACAGGCTGTGTGGATGTTGTAGCACTTTTTCTTTTTTTGGCTTTGAGGGTTTTTTTTAAATAATATTTCTATCGTTAAGCTTCCAGGGAGATTCTTTTAATTGCTTCATTTTTCTCAGGTCAGTTTTAAAGAGACGGCTGAGGGGAAACGGTAGCACGAATATAAAAATAAAACGCACTCAAATGCAGGCTGAGGGATGAAATCAGCATTTTTCAGGATGTATTTAACGTGGATTTGTTTTTTTAAAGACGATATTGACGCTGGAATGTGAAGCTTTGTTGGCTTTGGCTGAGTTTTCATGAAGTGCGACTCGATGTATGCTCAAAAAAATGTCTGTATGAGGAAAGTGTTTGGTTTAAAGTAGCAGACGTTACAGTATAATGCAGCAAACAGTCTGCACAGGTCACGTCCTTACAGATATAATCGTTCATATTTGAACCGATGCAGAGTTTTGACGATGCTTTACAACCGTAGATCAGCTTCCATCCAAACATGGGGCAAAATTTACAAGAAAATCTGCCCAAAAAAAAAAAAAAATGTTGTTTTAAATGTAAGTGATGCTGATTGTCCATTTACAGTCGTCCTCAATGTTTTCATACCCTCCCAATAAAGAAGGAAAAAAAACAACAACAAGTAAACAAGCGTGATGGGACTCATCAGCAAAGTGCTCTAATTTGTCTGGAACAGTTTTGTTTTTTTAAAATTAATCTTCTCAACCACAATTCAAAAGCAACATCATATTTCACTAAATTATAATTTAGCAAATTTTTATTTATTATCACTTTTTTCAGTTTCTACTTATTTGAGCGACTATCGTGAGTTTTTTCTTTAATGGAAGGGTTTGAATACATCTGAGGACGACTGTGGATGCTGCTGTATTTCCTTCAAACAAGACATTTGTGTTGCTTCCAGCGGAGTCTCATCGTGCTTCGTTCACATCATCAGTCCTGCTTTTATTGAACTTTGAAGCATTTTTACTTTTGCTTTTAAAACCTTTTTAGGCAGCTTTTCATGTGCAAATTAAATACAGACTGATTTAAATGAGCTGATGAAGATTCGCTACTAGTGATGCACGATATTGACGTTTCTAGCCGATATTAAGATTTCTGATATCACCGATAACTGATGTTACCGATGTCGATATTCCATTTTTGTTCACACCGAAAAATGAGTAGAAATAAGCACTGTGAGAAAACTATTCAGAAGAAGCCCAGATTAAACCACTCAGTCTTCTTTATTACAAACGTAAAACATATTTAAACATATTTAACATTACAGTCCAGGACCATTTAAGTAAAAACATCTGTGAAGTAGCAGCGATATCAGAGACCAAGGCGCTAATGTTAGACAATCATCGGCTAAGTTTGTTCATTGTACCGATATATCGGAAAAAACCCTAATATCGGCCGATACCGACGTGGGCGCCGATATATCGTGCGTCCCTGTTCGCTCCCCTTCAACCTTCATAGATTTCCTTCATTCGTATACGTTTGAAACATCAAGTTACTGTAGTTTTAAAAGACAAAATGCAAACATTGACTCAGTGATCTGTAGCTTTGTGTCGTTAGCATCGGAGCTAACGAGGCTGTTTTCACTCAGAAGGATGCCGTTACTTCACTCTGAGTGTCTGTTTGGAAAACTGAAAACTGAGTTAAAGCACCCGGCGGTTAACCCTGTGAAGCACCTCCACCTGGTTTTACATCATTACATGTGACGCTGTTACTCATTTTTAATGCTCGTCAGAAGTTTGTTGTATTTATTCTGCTGATGTCAGACATTAAAACATTAAACAAAACGGCTGTTTGGTGTTTGGTGTGACCACAGACTGGTTGGACTGATTTGTTCGCTCCGTGAAGAATGAAATGGATGAAACGCTTTGGGTCCCGACGCGCACCTTTAATCACGATGCGGCTCCGGTATCGATCAGCGATGGATATCGATCGGTGGCGCCGCAGAGGAGCAGAAATCAGATGACCTCGTTTGTTTTTACCTTCCAGCAGCTTCAGGTGGACGTAAACAGTGGAAGCTCCAGAAGATGCTTGTGAGATGAAACGCTTCCTCGCTCTGAAGCGTCGGTGTAACCGGCTGCTTCATCACAGCAGAGACGCTTTAACTCCGGTTCTGTCTGGAGGAGAGTCCCGGGTTGATGGTGACTGATGGTGACTGATGGTGGTTGATGGTGGTTGATGGTGACTGATGGTGGTTGATGGTGGTTGATGGTGACTGATGGTGGTTGATGGTGGTTGATGGTGACTGATGGTGGCGATCACTGACGAACATCTGCTCCAGACAATCTGAGCAGAAAGCGGCTTCTGATTCCTCCTGACGCCACAGAGCTGCTGTGTGATAAACTAAATAATGACAATAAACTCCTTTATCGTCTTTTCTTTTCCAGTTGAGCAGAATGAAACTCAGCCCGGTTCCCGTTTTACATCTCTGACCTTTAAACTCTTCAACCAGCTCTTGGACCGCTGAGTTCTGGGAATCAGCTGTTGTTTAAAGTCCCACAGTTCAGGCTGGAAACAAAGCTGGACAATGGTTTTACTGGTTTGACCCCAAAAATAGTGGAAGAAACGTTTAAAAACCAACATTTACACAACGTTTGTTCTTCTCTGATGCTCTGTTGTTGCTCATTTTTCAGGGTTTGCACCGTTTTAATTCATCTTTTTAGGATTTCGTGTCTGTTTTCTGATGTTTTGTGTATTTTAATGTTCAGAAATAATGTTTACTGCTAATATTAATTATAATTCTACGTTATAGGACCTTTTATTCAAAACACTTTTCACTTTAGTTTATTTTTATGGCACTTTTCATAGAAATAGAACATATAAAAGTGCCTCACAGCAACAAAACAAATACAAAACAAAGTGATAAACGGCACAAAAAATAGATTAACATGTGTGAATAATTAGAAAAATGCGTAAAAACAATTTAAAAATGGGCTAAAAATGTACATCTTGAATGTGTTTTTAAAAATATCAACACTCTCCTGCCCTTTAGTTCTTCAAAACTTAAAAAACAAACAAAAAAAACATTTAAATAATATTTTATTTTTCTCTGATGCTGCTCATTTTAAAGGTTGCACCGTCTTTACTGATGGTTTATTGTCGTCTATTTAGTGTTTTATTGTTGTTTTCCAATGTTTTTGTGTTTTAATGTTCTGTAAAGCACCTTGTGACCCCAAATAACTTTCTCCTACAAGTTTTAGAACCTTTTATCCAAAACATGTTTCAGTTTAGTTCGATCAAACTTTGTTTTCATATATTTAAAACATAAAAAGGTGCCGTACAGAACAATATGAACAACAAACAACCCAAACCAAAGTGATAAAAACCAGTAAATTTGACTAAAATGTGTAAATAATTAGAAAAATGAATAAAACCAGTTTATAAACAGGCTAAAAATGTTGTGTTTTGTAAAAATATCAACACTTTTCTGCCCTGAAGCTCTTCAAAACGTTTAAAAACCCATTTAAATAACATTTATTCCTTCTCTGATGCTGTTGTTGATCTTTTTAAAGCCTCCATCGTCTTCACTGATCGTTTATCGTCTTCATTTAATGTTTTCTGGACCATAAGAGCAAAACTCTGCCTCGCTGTTGGTTTTATTCTGACTGTGTGTTTTATTAAAAGGCCACTTTCAGAAGATTCGAGGCTTTCAGGAGGTTCACTGGACAAAAGAAAATCTAATAAACGAGCAGCGAGAGCGCAAAGAATCAATGAGAGGGTCTTAAACTGATTCAGGTAGCAGAGCGGAGGCCTTTAAACCACCGTAACGGGCTCTTCTTCTGGTCTACATGACGTTTATTCTTCACTGTGAGACCAGAGCAGAACCTTAGAGCGTCGGTTAGAGTCCGGTTCTGTCAGAACCTGGACTCTAATCAGCCTTCAGTGGCCTCTAATGCAGCAGAACGTGACTTTGTGGCGTCATTGAACACATCGTTTGGAGGAGAAACCATCATTTGATGGATTTGTTTGCAGATTTTGTGTTTCCTTGTTTCAACAGAAGAACATCAAATATTTTGGAAGCTTTGAATTTTTAAAAAAAACAGCACTTTGCTGTTGTGGTCCAGAATGTAGAGAAGGTTCCTGACAGATAACATGTTGGATTAACCAGCTGCTGATTAACATTTTCACATTTACAAGGTTTAAAATGAGACCATCGTTGACTCTCACTGCTACTGGTTGAGCTAATTAAATAATAAAACTGGACACAAGCTGTAGAGTTTGACATCAGTTCATCAATCTGCTCAGAATAAACATGTTTTAAACTTTATTTATTGAAATTTATCCGATCAGAACCAGTTTCTTCACCACTAAACGCTCTCAAAGACTCCAAATAAATGACTAATAAATTACAATGTGAGAGGCCAGATAGCAGGAAGACAAATAATAATGTCATTAAACACAAATGATGTCTTCCTGTGAAGTAATAATGTTCATCAGGTCAGCTGATGGTGTTTGGAGTGTTTTTGGAGCATAATTAACGTGCTGCAGCTTCTGATCTCAGTCATTCACATAAAGTCTAAACGTCACATTTCTGACCACAAAAAAAAATAAAGAAAACGTCGAAGCTGCAGAATCAGAGCTGAGTTGTTGGACTGCATCAGATTTAACAGATAAAAAGAGTTTAATAGGAGAAGGCTGCACACAGGTGTGACAAAATCCTGAAGATGTCGATGCTTCCTGTGAATCTGGGCTCAGCTGCAGCAGGAACAGCGTCGTTTCTCCACTTTGCTCTGTTTTTGGGGTTTTTCTGTGCGGAGCTGCAGCTCTGGTCTCGCCGGGCCACATGGGGGCAGTAGCGCAGCTTCCGGAGCACCTCCACCTTTTCCACGCAGCATCCTTCCCTTCAGGTGAGTCTGCGTGGAAGTTTCCTACCTGATCCGGAGCCGCGCACAGCCTCCGAGCGCAGCAGCCCGGCGGCAGGACACGGAGGAGGAGAGCCGGCGATGAGGCGGCGCAGCGCGGGGACAGCTGGCACCGCGGACCCGGGAGCTGGCGGCGCTTTCCAGATTGCGTAAAATAACGCGCTGGTGAGCGAAGGGGAGGAGAGGGACGAGCAGAGCAGGCAGGAGGGGAGCAGCGTTGAGTCAGTGCGGGAGGACGATGGGAAGTGTTGGCTTCGCGGGGTTCTGTCTCTGACCAGGTAGAACCCGCAGCAGGAGCGGAGCGGAGCCGCTGGAGAGCCACGGTTACGCGGAGCCGCTCGGACGCGCCGCTCATCCAGCAGACAGCAGGTAAGGGCAGCTGCCGACAAACTTTCCGCCTCTTTGCCTGTTTTTATTTTTTGGACTTTGATGCCTGCTGAGGAAAGTCCAGATCCGGCAGCTCGATGCGGTGCAGCGCTGCGCCTCTGCGCACATGTGCGCCTCTGGACGAGATGTTCGCGGCGCTGCTGGGCGTTGCGGAGGTTTTCACAGATTTCCACTTTGAATGATGCAGTTGTGGCGATAAAATGGTGGATGAGGAACAAGAAACACACTAAACAGAGATGTGTGTGGACGCCATGTCCCAGATAATCCGTCAGTCAGCTGCTGTGTGGTCGCACGAGCTGC